TTTTCTTCTTCAAGCATGCATCCTGCGATAAACATTTTAGGCCAAGTGTTCCTTGCAAATATTATCTACCTGAAAGAGATGGAAATGGGGAAGAGGGGGGAATAATAAGGGTTTCTCCCACCCCTCTTTGAAATACAGAAATCTCAGAACAAAATGGATTATTCCTGCATGAGGCTGAGAAAGGAGAAAGCTTGAAAGGCTGGTACTACGGTATTATTGTGAATTGTGTGGGGAGTTTCTGTTTGCGGGGTGTGGGGGACAAGAATGGGGCATAGCACGGAAATCCCCATGGAGTGGGGGAAACACCATTTAAAACCACGCCAATGATTCCTCCTTGGGTTGGGCTTTTTCCTTTGATACTTGAATTTATATTTTTTATCATTTTTAACAGCAAAAGGCTATTTATTTATTTAACTGATCCTGCAGAACCACAGAGTTCCTCCCCCTTGTTCCCCCAATTTCTGTGACATTAAATTTTGCGTGTATGTGTATGTACAGAACGATTTCCCCTCTTTTCTTTCCCCCCCCCCCCCCGGAGGTGAAGAGCAGTGCGGCTCATAAAACAGGTCTGCCTTTTGGAAATTTGTATATTTTGCAGTTGCCGGACCAATTAAAATACCATCTTTAACTAGAACCATCTGGATTGTGTTATTTTGTTCGCCGAACGTCTCCTCTGTTAGAGGATATTGGACGATGTGTTTATGTTTGGGGGGTGGGTCCGTTTTGGAAGCTGGATTAGGTATTTAAACCCCCGTGTCCACCTCTCAAAAAAAAACGTGCTTCCAGGATGTCACACTGGTTGGTTTCTCTGCAGGAGATGGTGCTTGACCAGTTCTGGTGATGCTATGGAAGATTGGGGTGATGGGGAAGGGGAAACAGATGTTTCCCACACTTTGCATGCTTTTTGGAGCCAGCTCCTGTTCCTTTTAGTTAGAATAGAGCAGTGTTTCCAACCTGGGCAATTTTAAGATGTGTGGACTTCAACTCCCAGAATTCCCCAGCCAGCCATGCTGGCTGGGGAATTCTGGGAGTTGAAGTCCACGCATCTTAAAGTTGCCCAGGTTGAGAAACGTTAGAAGATGGAGTGGTCCTGAACTTTTCAATACATATTTTGACAGCTGGGAGTGGAGTGGGTAGCAAAGTGGAGCCAGATAACCCGGGTGTGCATTTTTTTTAATGTAAAGGGATTGGAAAAACTAGAGTTTCTCCACTGAAAATTAACACTTATAGCCAGAGGCGGCTCTAAGGCAGTGTTGTCCAAA